GAGAGAGAGAGAGAGAGAGATTTAAGAGCAGCATTATTATAAGCTTGAACGGTTGTCTTAATGTTCCACAAACAAGAAAATATTCGACAGTTTAATGTCATGCATTGAGACCTATCTGTTAAAGTTGTGTCAAAAAATCCTATCGAAATCTTCGTCTTGTGTACGAATCCAGCCTAGCAATCCCGAGACGAGCGTTACAATATAAACACTGATCAATTCAAAAGGAGCGCATTATTCGATGCATTGAAATGGAAATAAGAAGTCTAGAAATAAAAATGAATATCTCTTTAATCACATCTGTTCTAATCCCGCTTTAGTGCATTTAAAAGTCGATCGCTTCCCGATAGAATTGAGCTGTCTTGATGAAATTGGAGGCCTGACATCTCCATTTGTTAAGAGCTTATCTAAGTTGAATAGAAGAGTGCATAATTCAGGGCTATCCGTGACTTTGCCTGGATGAGCACAAGTTAACAGATGTGCCCGTATTGCTGACAGATATAACGATGAAAAGAAAATATGGCGCTTATGTTTTGATTGCAAGGTAATCATTAGGCGTCTATGAGAACGCTTTAATTTCATTTCCATCATATTACCCTCTGGATACCCTCTGATATCAAGGGTTTCTAAAATAGTATACAAAATTAAAGTATGTAACAGACCACTAGCGCACCCTGTGGTCAGAGAGTACCATCTGGACTGGCAGTGAAAATGTTTTGAAGTATCATTTCAAGCAATGCAAATACTGTATGTAGCAAACGTTAAGCTACAGGGATTATTAAACCAATTCTTGCTTGTATATGGACATACGTAGGATATCTACTGTATTGCTGTGGTAAATATGTTACTGTCTAAGCGCTGTCTAATACATTTCAGCGTTTAAGCTTATTCTGCTGATGTTTCAGCAAATCATGCCAAATATGAATTACATCGAAAGTTTGTTCAGCTATATGTTCCTAGTTTTAGAGGCTGTTCCTGTATCCTTGAAACGGGCGCAATGGACAATTTTATTATTATTATTTTCTTTTTGCCTTTCTATACTGAGACCAACGTCAAAATTCAACGTTGCACTGACTACCAGTACTGTTTTTGAAAATAATTTCTTCTCCCTTTCAACGTTTTGGATCAAATTCATGGCTCTTTGAATGTATAATTTTGAAACTATAAATCAAACAGATGACCACAAATTATATATGCATACTACTCTTTTTCTCGAGGAGTTTATGACCTAGTTTATTTACATTATTTTATTTATCAGGCTTTACAAATCAAGTAGTTAAAAGAATATGCTTACAGAAAATACATTTTTCTTGAATATATCTGTTCATTTTAGCTTCAGTATTTTGTATTCTGCTTTGATGTTATATATGATTCACAAAGTGTAAAATCCTTATTAATCAAATAACATAAAGACGTGACAGAAAAAGTCCTTCACTGAAATTAATGTGAAGTTGTCTGTTAAGATAAGAACAGTCAGAACGCATTACTTGGATATACGATGGTTAACTATTCATTTTCTGTTGATAATAACTGTACGCCGCACTTCAATAGAAAATAAATTACAATGGATTCCGCGTTCAACCTAGCCTCGATGACACTTTGGTTAGATAAGTATTTGAGCAGCGTTTACTGAAGTACTTTATTTCTCATATTAGCTTGTACTGCTACTTGGATCTAAGCAAAATTAGCAACCAACTTTTCCAGCATTATCAATGGAAAGCAAATCATTTTAAATGTTGATAATTTGTATGCCAACAGAGACATGGCCGAGCATTCTGTGTATGCCATCAGTCCAGGTGAGTTTTTATCTTTTAATTTAATTTTTTTACATGATTTTACTCTGCCGATCCGCTTTCTTTTTTCTTTACTTCTTTTTTTTTTTACACCTGTAGTTTGAGTTGATAGTGTTAATTGGAACGCCCGTTAATTGAAACAAGGTTTCTTGGATTCCAGGTAGTTAGTAGCCCATTATGAATTTCTAAGAACAAGGTTCCGTTCAAAATCAATATTATGTTGTTAAGTATTAACACTATTATTATTATTCTAAATGTATATATATATAAAAACCATGACTCGATTCCTGTAGCTGCCATTAGTTAGCTGTATTAGTTTTGTAAAGGAAGGGCTTTCTCTAAAAAGGTTAAGTGTTGTAACGAGGGCGAAGTATTATATGTAAAACCAAGAGATGAAAACTTGCTATATTTTGCAGCAAAAAAATCCGTCAGTATTTTTTAAATATTTTTACAATTTAGTGTTCATCTATAACCTTAGGACCATACTTGTCGATGCATTTAAAATTTTCCATATATTGATTAGCTGCTGCTTTTATCCAGAATATTAATTCTGAGTGGAAGGCTTCCTACATGTATTACTTAATTAAGTGAAAATATTCATACTACCTGGCTTAATTTTGATCAGTACTAAAACTTGTTTTTCATTATGTACTTAAACGATGTAAACTGTCAAGTGATAAGAATAATTGACGATTTAGGAAATAATCTCTCTCTCTCTCTCTCATTCTCTCTCTCTCTCTCTCTCTCTCAATGCGGTGGGTTATTACCGTTAGGATTTCTTATATTTTTATTCGAATGTTTCATTTACTTTTGTAGGGGACTGACAAAATTTCGCAAATTTCTACCCTTTTTTTGTTTCTAAAGGTGAAAATAACGGATGGGCTCGACACTAGTGGAAATGTGGGTCGATTCTTAGTAAAGATATGACTTCTGCCGTCTGCAGAAGAAGCAAATATATTGTCGCTATTCTATCATATACTAAACTCTGCCGATGCATTGGAGATATAAGCAAGAGATGAGTGTTTGCTAACTTAGGTATTCGAGTGGCTATCATTTTCATTTACAAAGCTAGAAGGAAGATAGGGTAGAAAAACAGATCGACTAATTCTTGTAAGCCTTTCAAATTAGTTATCCGAATACGCAGATGTAACATTTCCCTAAATTGTCCCAAACTGCTAGCCACATTTATGTAAGTTTAACCCCAGGGTTAGCCCGTAAGACCTTTTCCATTAACGGACGTTATTCCGATTCGGTTTCACTTGCTATCGAATCATTTCAGATTTTGATATTGTAATGAGTAGGCCTTGTGTTTGATACGCTTGGGACAAGGCGGGCTTAACTTGGATGAATAGGACGACATATCTATCACAAATGAAACGAAGGGATATTCTGCTTTTAATAGAGTTGCCCTTTTGAAGAATGAGACTCGCATTAAGGAGAAAGTCTGCTGCGCTGATAAGAAGATGCGTTGTTATTCATAAGGATTAGGTGCGGAGCTGTTGCACGCTGCGCTCTCTTATTAGCGTTAATTATCTTCTTGTGCTGAAAAAGAACACCTTAGTCGCAGTAAATCTGGAACAAGCTGATGGATATTCACCACATATATATGTTTAACCTGGATTATTTGAAACAAATCTGATGATTATTTGTCAAATTCCAGGCTCATACCTCCAAAACAGCGTGTTGAATATTTGTATGCTCTTTTCGTGCTAGGGGGCGCCATTGCGCATCATGAATTACAAGAGCGTATGTATGCGCTTTTTTGTGCGTGCACGGCTCATGTACGACCTCCGTAATGATTGCCAAAGTAAAAGTAAATTAAAAGGGACTGCGGATAGCATTTTAAAAGTACACCCGCAATATTGGAGAGAGGCACTCGCCCACTCTCTCCCTTCCTCACACACACACACGCACACACACACACACACACACACACAAAATAAAGGGCACGCTGTTTTTCATAGAATGTAAAGAGTTTGAAACGGATGAACAGGGTCTGGGAGAAACGACTCGAAATACACAAAATTTAATGACCAAATGTTGCTTCAAGCATAATAAGAAAAATACTGACTGGACGTCTGTTCAAGATACTTCATCGTATTTTCAATAACTGCAAGATACCTTCTGAGCACTAAAATACTTAGATGTGTCCCTACATGTACACTCGTCTGTCACTGTTAACATATGTCGGTTTAGCTAAGTATAATCTAGCAAAGCTAGAAAAGCCACAGGATTCGGGAAGATTTTTGAAATGGTACTTGAGAATATCCAACAGTCCTTGTTAATGTCGACAGGTTTGTGGAACCAGGAAAATGTTGACTAACTCTTAAATGTTCTCGAGGTATCTAGACCCAGTGTGGTTCACAAAGTCCCTCAGTATGTTGTGTAATTGGGCCTTGTTAAAGTTGACAAAAATTTACTTCACTTATTAACTAAAATAATTCTCGTCGCGTTTATAGCAAAACGAAGTGGTTAAATATACATGTAATTCAGGAAACGCATATTTAAAAGATCTATTTGATAAGAATAAGAAACGGGAATGATGGTATTTTATTCATTAAAAAAGGAAAATATATAAAACCACAATTATTGAGCCACTTCAATAATAATAACAAAGAAGTGAAAATAAGGAAGGGAAAATATTACGATCAGCTATTCATCATGATCGGGGGTTTGTGAGTTGCCACAAATGAACGATGGCGGCTGTTACCGTTACTTTTCTCTGGAATGATAACCTCTGCATCCTTATCAGCGAACTTTATGTCCATCGTAAGCGCGACAGTGGAGGTTTGTTAAGTTAAAAGTTGACAGATTTCTAGTGATTCAATCAGGAGAGGGCACTTCCGTAACCCGTCAGAACGAAGAAGAACCCATTATAATTGGATTTATTCATGAGCGCATAATGATTTGATGATGATCGTTTAGTGGCTTGTACGCTCAATCGCCTACCATATTGTTCATTTCCATAATAAAGTCCGGCAATTCATCAAAACCTGCTTTGGCTCCATCAAATACACTCACAATTCATAGAGGATCGATTTAAATTGACAATGATGGCGTTTTTATGAATATTTATACAACAAAGAACCGAAGGAAAGGGACGCAATGTATCATATCACAGGGTCAATCGAGTGTAAGTGTCTACCTCGCTGGCGGTGAGCATTATGGGTAGGTAAGATAAGTGACGTCACGTCCAACCAGAGTGCCAAAACGGGGACAAGTGACTAACGGGATACTGATTGATGTCCCACAGATCTTCTTTAAGCCTAGCATAAACATTAAGGGGTGAAAAACGACCGTGGTACCGCAGATAATGATTATTGTCTGCAGTTGATGGGGCCCTCTTAATCCTGCACGCGCGACGATTCGACGCACAGTTATAGTGATTCGTATGCATGGAAGACGTCAAGAGAAGTTGTTTGCCCGAAACAGATCACAGTGGCCAGAGAAGGATAGCACGTTGTTGATGGTGTAAATCGGAAATTGAAGTACTTGAAGGCACACGACTCGATTAAATGGACGCTTTGCCGGATTCAATCTCTTTAGAAGAACTGGTGAACGCATGTGATAGCTCTCACAATCACAACACTATGACAGTTCAATCACTGGACAACGGTGGCAACTCCACGGCCAGGAACTCCAGGACGGATTCGCCGGAGATGACCGTCAAATCTGGACAGTCTCGAGCTCAAGGTATCACTTCTACGCCATTTAGCTTTTTTCCTCGCTGATATTCATCGGTTAAATATCCTTAAGTTGAGAGTTTGCAATAGTTTACCAAGTTCGCTTATGCTGGTCGAGTCGCCAGATACTGATTACTAGTAAGAGTTTTGGCCAATCTTTTATCTTCCAAACATAAAAATAAAGCTTCCTTTTAAGTCAGTATGCTTAACTCTAAATTCCTGCATCATTTCCGAATTAGTGGAGAGGCTTTTAGTACGTTTGTGATCTTCTGCCGACTTGTTATTGTGATTAGGTTAGCAGATTGATCAATGCATTACAACATTGTATTTATGAATAAAATATTAATGGCATAGTTCTTTTATTCATTTGAAGGTATGTAATTAATGATATTATTTTTGTATTTTTTCCTTCTAAAAATAATCTTAGGATTTTAAAAAAAAATTCTCTATTGCAAGTAAATTTTATTCATTTTTATTTTATCTATTTATTTTTATTTATTTATTTTCGTGGGGGTCTAGTGGGTTAACACAAATCTTCTTCATTTATTATTTACAAAACTTGGTATATAATTAGACTATATGAACAATGTTTGAGTATTTTTCTGGTGTTAAACTTCAAATCTGCTTTTCTTTTGTAACACAATTTTGAATTTTTTTCGCTTTCCAAGAATGCATTTTAGGATCGCTCCATTAATATTAAGATATTGATAATTTATTTGAATATCAGACATTTTGCTACATTCGTGACAAGTGATATTCCAATTATTATTTTAATGTCCAGTCATTTGATGGAAACTATTTAACTGTCAATAAACTGGACATTTGCGTACAATTTCTAAATCCCCAACATGAAACTTCCCAGTAGAAAAAGTCCGATAATATTTTCAAACATAAAATTATTTTACTCCAAATTTAAGGCATTAATCTGAAAAAGAAGCAAGAATTAACCAAGGTTTTGTGAGTGTACACATGTTTATGTGTACCTGAATATGACCTCGAAATATCAATAATTGAACTTAAAATTGACAAAGAGATTTTAAAAAGTTTGTGAATATTCACAAATTACCTGTGTTGTTTCATGGAATATTTATACAATGTGGATTTAACGTTGATAATGTCTTTCAGCAAATTATGTTGAAGTTAAAAATCAATATTATAATTTTTTTCACATAATTTTAGCCCAATATTTTATGCATTTTCCAAATGAAACTCTGTAACTGTTGGTAAGAAATTAGTATAGCAGAGCAGACATTGAAATTAAAGAGGAATAAGCATAGTAGACGTTGAAATTAAAGAAGTTAAGTAATTGCAAAAATGTGAAAGAAAGAGTGAATGTATGACATTAGCTGACACAAATATCTTGTTTAGGAACTTAAATCATTCTTTTAGGGCTGAAAAATTATCTTCTAATTCTATAATCTTAAAATTGTATAATTCAGTTAGGTGGACGAAAGACTGTTTGATTGCAATCAGAGCGTCTGCGCGGTATGCAAACGCGGTGAAATAATACCTTGTTAACTAAACATTCCGCACTTGTAACAGTAACGCACTTGGCACAATACTCCGACTCTAAAGATTTTACGCTCTTATTATTTGTCAATGTTAACTCTTATAGTCAAAAGCCATCGATCACCGGTTCATTAGACAAAATAAATAGAATAAATCCGAAACCCTTTCCACGCACTATGCGTGTTTTGAATAATTCGTGAGAATTTAATACTTTACGCTGATGTTTGAATACACATTTGAAAACACGATCGCTGCTATATGTCATTCGGTGAAAGGTCGATATGAGTTTATTTAGTGGAACAATTTCAGCCAAGAAGAATTATTCAAGTCTGGCATGGAAAAGGGTATTTTAATGGAAATGCTGAAAATATCCGTACTAACTTTTTTTTTAATCTTGACATTTGATCTTTAAAACACCAGCTTAAAAGCAGGCGGGCTTTCTTTCATACAGAGTCCTGTGAGGCATTTGCCAAGATCCAATTTAATCTTAATTGCATTAAGTGTTTAAGAGATTAAACTAATTTTCTTCTTTTTTTTCTACCTGTGAATCTAGACTCCAGCGTCGACAGCGTTAAAATCAACACGCTTGCTACAGAAGATAATTCGGGAGACGAAGATTCTAAGAAAAAGAGGCGGCAGAGAAGACAAAGAACGCACTTTACTAGTCAACAGTTACAAGAACTTGAAAGTCATTTTGCCCGCAATCGCTACCCCGATATGGCAACGCGGGAGGAAATTGCGGCTTGGACAAATCTCACCGAAGCCAGAGTAAGGGTAAGTAAATTTGAAAATCAGTTTTATTGACTTTTTTTAAAGCATTTCATTCATTTTTGATATTTTAAAATCACATATTGATACAGTTTAAATTTTTTAAATCAGCCACATCAGTTTATATTTTTACAGAAAAAAATTCTGAAAATATATTCGAATTAGAATTAAGATTTTTTCCATAAAGAAATAACTGTTTCTTGCAAGTGTATTGTTCTTGAAATATTTTATGTTAAGAAAATCGTATGCGTAGTTAACTTAAAAAGCCAAAGTGTTTCTGTGTAAATACAGAAACAAATGTAACGGATTTCAATTCCATTTACACCATTACACTTGACAAAAAATGTCGTTACATTGAACACTTAATTAAATCATAGTTACATACAATAAAAACCCCAAAGTTTTTTTTACTCTGCGGCCGATGAATTAATAAGCAACAGATGTGGAATCTATAACCCAGTTCAGGGCGTGATTTATAGTCTACTTGTGTACATACATCGCATTGTGATAGGCAGAGATTTTAAACTGCGACCTCTTAAATATCACCAATAAACCGTGCCCATTGTTGAAATAGTAAAATATTTCGATTACTAACTTAGTTGTCACTTTGACTATAGATCCCCCAGTATTCACACTCAGGTGCACATTTGCTTCAACCTACGGATAAAAAAGATTGCTTGGGAATTAAGCAGGATGAAATTTAATTCCGCATTTTTTCCTAATGGGTCACATCGTTCCCACGAATTTGGCGATCAGAATTATTTCATACATGTCTTCCAATTTCCACTAAGTAGTTTGACGCCATTTTATCCAATTTTTAAAATCCGATTTTTCAATCAATGTATTTCCGATGTCGAAAATAAATATCTTTATCTTGAAGAGCCAGTGCACTTAAAATTGCAAGTGCAAATATTCTTATTATTTCACTTAATCTTTAAATGATTAACGTATGGTTCACACTGTATTGTTAGAACATTTTCTTCATTCCTTGTAGGTTTAGCACGGTCTTTTGTTAAAAACTGTACGACCTTTTTCGAATCGGCTTCTTAGTTTGGCAAAATAAAACTTATTCACACATTTCAACTACTAGCTGATGAATAAGATGACTGGAGGATGTTTTTTCCTGTAGTATGACACATTAATTTTTTGGGGGCAGTAAATTTGTTTTAATCCATAAACCAGTGTGCAATACACATGTAATTGAATACTTCAAAAATTTAACGCGTTTTTAGCGTATCCACACCTGGTAAAATCTGAACACGAACGGCGATCCACCTGGTATGTAGTTCGCTTGCCCTTCGATAACACGACCGAGAATAGTTTTCGTGTTTTATCTGAACGAGTTGTTAAGGGGACAATCCTGCTGGGATTGGAAGACCGAATCTTATCTTTCTTCCCAGGCTTGAGACCAATATTGGCATATACTGGCCCGTTTATCACACCAAACCGTGTCAATATGACTGATGAAGGTCCCACGTCGTATAATCGAAGTTATGCACATCTTATATGTATATATATGGCAGCTATATCCCATATCTGGGCACATCATATTGAATGAATTCTTCAAATTAAAGCATTGATGTCGGGCTATTGTTGCACAGAAAATATACTTCAACTATATGTCAAAATATTAAATTTTAATATCCTAATCCAATAGATACATTAATGAGATTATTTAGACATTTGTAACATTTCTGTATTTCGTTTGAATTTCTGTAAGTCTCAGCGTTCAAGAGGATGGAGAAAGATTTTTGCTAGATGATTGAAATGTATTTTTTGGAGTTATACTTCAGATTCAGTTTTCATATATCATCAAATATAAACTATTTAAAACCCAAGTGTCAATTATGTTTATGAAGTCAGTGATAGAGCTTGGTGTGGTTTTTGCACGTAATCTGGTTCCGTGTAGCCGTCACACGTGGTCTACAAAAGTATGTAACTTTATGACTAAATGTGAGTAACGCATCATATATTTATTGTGCGTCGCAGCTGTTCTTTTATTCTCTTTTATTCTATTTTATTTTTTATCGTACAGAAACATGTTCATCATGTTATTTGTTTCCTGCAGTTTTACGCAGACAATTCAATGGTAGAAAGGACAGTATAATTTGTATTACGTTTCGGTTTCTAACCGATCACAAACACATACAGACACACATAAAAAACCATTGACAATATTAGACAAATTTTACCCATGTTTAGATTAATTTCAGGCAGCTTTTGACTAAACGATAGGAAACAAAATGGAAAAAAAATGAACAAATGTCAGATGTTAACGTTTTTGTCTTTTTTTTTTCTAGGTGTGGTTTAAAAACCGTAGAGCTAAATGGAGGAAGAGAGAGCGCAATTTAGAGCCCTTCAAAAATGGTTTCCCTGGAAATTGGGCGTCGTTTGACGATGGGTTGTATACCGGGTATTCTTATCCTAACTGGGCATCAAAAATGCCCCCTGGCCCATTGGGGTCCAAAGCATACCCTTGGGGCCTCAACTCCGTTAGCCACTTGCCGTCGGTTGTGTCGTCACAACCCATGTGTTTTTCGTCACCGCCAAATACTATGACGTCATCAGTGGTGCCGAACATGAATATGAACGTCGGGACTGCAATGCACCCTGCGGCCATGACGGGCGTCGGTGGGAATATTGCCATGAACGCCCCAACAACGCCCTGTCCGTATGGTCCTACTCCTCCGTATATTTATAACAGAGACCAGTGTTCTAACAGTATCGCCGCTCTGAGACTGAAGGCCAAGCACTACAGCTCGAATGGGAGCTATTCTGGGATGTCCCCTCGATCTACAACGCTCTCTGCCTGCCAGTACGCCAACACCGCCGTGTAATAATTGAAATACATATACAATATGTATTGTTCTGTTGTAATCCTCCAAGGTTGATACAACCAAAAGTTTCGGATTAGTTGGACCCAAGCGGTGGTATATTTACTTGTTTTGATTTGATTGTCAGTAGATTGTTCGAGGAGTTTATGTAAGTGTTCCTTTATAGAGAATTTTCCCTGGTTTAAAACAGCTTATCAGGACAGTTAAACATAATTTCAGTTGATTCATTTAATAACAATTTAATTTAAATTAACAGAATAATTCTTTTAGAAAATTTTGATGATAGATATTTTACAATTGTTTAGTAAGAAAATCCAGTAAAGCTGAAACAGCCAGTGCGCAGTTTATGTTGCAGTTAGAAGTGTGTGTGTGTGTGTGTGTGTGTGTGTGAGAGAGAGAGAGAGAGAGAGAGAGAGAGAGATTGAGAGAGAGTTACGACGCATATTCAATTGAGAAAGGGCCAATTGCGAAAAATATTATTTGTTATCCTAGCAACTAGTAGGAGTGTTAATACAATCTGCCCCCTGCCTGTGTTGCTCACTCTATTAGTTTCACAGTTTGTGTTCAAATTAACGAAAATATCTACTGCGTGCGTCCATTTTAATTGCACGCGTTTTTGGATCTTTTGTCTTTATATATATTATGTGCCATTGCACGCTTGTAGTATTTACCTGTTGTAATTGATATCTGATATTTTAAAGGATGGTTTAATGTTGAAAAAATTAACGAAACAATTTATTAGAGCATCCTCCTGCTCAAAGATTACATTTAATAATTGTCCGCTGAATTTTGAAATTATCAAAATTCAAAAATAATATCAAAGAGAAAACGGCTGTTGATCAAGTTAACTATGTCAATATGTTAAACTTTCTCAAATTTTTATTGTCACATACGAGCGACATTAATACACCGAACAAAATAAGCTTGGGGTGTGATTGAAGCTTGCTTTTTTTTTGGATGAAAAACACAAAAATAATGTTTCGACGAAAGCCACACTCCTAAAATGAGTATTTGCGCCACTTATTCAAATAAGAATCTTTATTTTGAAATTATTCTGCTTTTTACAAATCATTATTTTTCTCAATCGAGACTTACGGTAGATTGTTAATGTAATGTTCAAGTTAATGTTGAATATCGTTAAAAGGGAACGTAGTACACTTTTCAGATAGCTATCTGCTGTTAAATAACTTTGAATTTTTTGTTTTTTATGCAGATATATACTGCTGTGCAAAGAAGTGAATTACATTTTAATTTTTTGTTATATAACGAAACGCATTTGTGGTTCCAGAAAAAAATATATTAGTAGAAAACAACTGTTAAAAATCACTGGTCAGATACCGAATTTTCTTTATTGTGTCACCGTAATGTTAAAGTCATTCTGAAGTATATCTATGATAGCTAGTCCACAGTCGAAGTGCTGATTACGATGCTTAAAGTTTGTAATTAAAAATGCAGATTGCAGAGTTAATTCTAGTCTAGGGTTTTAATATTGACTATCACTCAATTGAAAGGGTTGATATCTTAGCCTTTTAACATGTTAGGGGTGCTTTTTTAAACGAGTGTGCTTAACTTTATTAATGTAAATCTTCAACATTAGACTTTGTCTTGATTGTGCATATTTATTGATATAGATAATTCAATATGTTTGATAATATTGAAGTGTAAATTCCATATCTTGCCAAACCATTTTGGTTTTGTTCTGTTAAAAAACAGACGTAATACTTATTTATATGTTAATGTAGGTACGCACGGGGTTCTTAAGTGGTATTTTTACTATCCAGGAAAGAAATACGTGCATTTTCTCCAAATTTTAAAGGTATATTCACACAGTGCTTGTATTTTGTTTTCGCATGTGTGTTTCTCATATATCTAAATATTGGTAAATCGTGTACTTAAATTATGCCATAAATATACTATTTATATATTTAGTGAAGTGTAAATAAAGTTCTTACGTATACCTATTGTCATTATGTTTTCCTCCTTTCTATATGAATAAGCCAGAATAGGTACCCTATCCTACCAACGAAACGAAACGCCAGTTTCATACCTGACCAAACGAGTAGGCCTATTTATAACAATTAATATTTTGTTTTTTTATTGATGCAAAAGGTTTCTATTAATTACGATCGCGATAATAACAGCAACACCTATTTTACAAAAAAAAATTACTTAGAAACAACAGAAATTATCATATAAATATCCTGTAACTGCTTTAAGAAACTTAAAATTAATTTTAAATTAACTGAACTTTGATTTGCAGTTTCGGGATTTTTACTTTAACTTTCGTATACTATTAAATTGCAGAAGTTTTTTTGTTATCAGCTTGGGAAATAAACTGGCATTTAAACAATATTTTGTCTGCTTACAGTCAGACTTCATTATTATGCAGACCCTGTGAAATTATCAGAATAGCTTTTTTTAGAAAAACACATGATGAATTTTATACAACAACAACAACAGAAACCATATATTGTCGACGACAGCAGGAGGGTAAAGGAGTTGAGAAGGAAAAATTAAGACTATCATATTTATTCTACCTGTATCAGAATACCAAGCGTGTGAACATTTCTATTAAATCCAGTCCTGGGATTTGTGCTGTATGGAAACTAATCCGCACTTCGATTCTAGCCCTCCTTTTAGGGTAGTGCAGATTGACACATAACTAATGGCAGGAGTAAAAATTATAGTTTCTTTACATAACAGTGTGCGTTCATCTTTTTAAAAACGAGAAAAGACCTCTATAATAATAATAATAATAATAATAATAATAATAATAATAATAATGATGATGATAATTATTATTATTTTTTTTCTTGGAATTTCTTGGGGTCTTTAGAAACCAAGGCAACAAATATAACATTGGTGGCGTTGGTACTTAGTATACTTAACACGTTTAGCCGTTAGAAACCGAAAGGGAGACAAAGATTGAATAGGGAATAATTTAGTGGTTTTTACGAATCTGGATGGTGTTAATTGTGTGAACACTTTCCAAGGTCGATTAATAGCCAACAGATTCAAAATAAAATAGTCAAGGCTAAACTGAACCCCTATGTTTACCGTGCCAACGATTTAAGGAATTTAAAATATACATAAAACATCAAAATCGGTTTTAAATTATAAAGTGTGATTCTGAATATACTAATTATCTCAGCATCATATCAACTTGTTATTTGAATTATTGAGAATATTGACACAATATATTTCGTTGACTTACGTAATTTTGCTAAGTACTGATCATAAAAATTGTACAAAATTGTGTAAAAACATGCATTTCGACGCGTATATCGTATGACAAGTAGACCGCTCGCGCTATACAAAACCAACTTCGAAAAACAATCATACCATAATTGATGCCTTTTAGAACTAAGCCATCATTAATTCAAATCGTTATAGTTAAAAATCAATACAGTAACGGATTCGAAACTTTCTAATATATAAGAATTGGGCTAGTTAGTCAGCTGGCAGATATCCTTTCCCCGTTGCAGGGCTTGACAAATATCTATGTGACACGATTCGAGCTCAGGCTTGTTTGCTTTTTGCTTCATTTGAATACGCTGCTATGAGAACCGGACGATACCAATTTGAATTACTCAAGGGGGACAATATCATATGTCGCCCATCGACATCTTCCTAATGAAAGTATTGAAATGATTTATAAGTAGTGAAAAAATTAGATTGCATTAGTTTTGAATTGTGTTTGATCAAGTTTTATGCGTGAACTTTACGTTTCTTGAAGAAGGTCATTTCCCTCTTGTGCAACCTGTTTTTCATAGGAGCGGCGGCCATCTTGAAAAATGTTTTTGCGCTATTAGTGCTTAACGATTTTTTAAGCAAAAGTTAACTAAAATCTGGCATAATTATCTTCATTTTGTTATGGGATTTGATGTTTTGCAGTATCAGGTAAGACATTCATAGCAACATCTACTCTTGCTAAAATCCACCGCCGTTCAAAGTTATCGCACCGGCCATGTGTTATAGGTAAATATCAAATTAGTTTTGAAGAATTGATGACTACGGTTTATATTTCGTTGTACAAACACCAGAGGCTTGTGAAGTGCTACACTCTCGTCCCTTTACGGAAACGAATATTACAATTACAACGTTATAACGACTTTACATTAATTAATCGAAATATCTGGACTGACGGGTTTACAAATATTTTTCTTCTCTCACATGCAAATGGTTTCCTACTCCCCGCATATTTACCCAAAAGTTACTGTCTTACAATTAAGTACAAAGCAACCCATTATTAAAATGGCACACTAAATACGAAACAGAGTAAAACACATTGCCAAAAAAAGGATGACACTAAATAAATTTTGCCAAAAACTTATAATTATATTTGAAAGTAATGAAGTGGGGCTTGTCCGTTGAAAAGCTAGAAACAAACTGTGTTGCAGTCATGAAATATATTCATTTGTTTAAATGAGTATAACAGTATAACAGAAATTATATGAATCGTCGAGTAAGATAATGAAGGGAGCGTATACATAAATCTTTCTCAGTACCTTTGCCTTTATATCTTGAGCATGAAAAGTGTCACAGCCTGATGTAAATTCAACACGCGAAATACCACCTACTTTAATGTTATAAAGAATTCCATAATTTCACATATTATACAGCCGTGTGTAGAGTTTTGTCTCGAAACTCCTTTGTGAGTAAACATTGATCGATTCAACTTCATATAAATGATGCTGCTGATACGAAAAACGGGAATAGTTTTTTTTTACTGGTTTTCATGAAAACAATGTGCTTAGGAGTAAAAGGCGCGTTTCATTAATTTTAAAAGAGAGAGAGAGAGAGAGAGTGAGAGAGAGAGAGAGAAGCAAGGAAGGATGAGAGATCTAATAGCAGAAGGAAGTTGACAAATCATTGCTTTTAGTAAATTCCCCTGTCTTATAAAACAATATAGTTTTGTATCTGTTTTGACTTGTTTAAAACGACCTTGCAATCATAAACATTACTGCAGTAGAAGAAAGTCACCAATAAAGGGGACACTAGTTATGAGACCATCACCTGATGACCTTGGACGTAATTTCCACGTATTTCGAATGTATACTGTAGGCAGTAGCTAGTATGAATAATAGCAACTGTTAAATGTGGATGAATCCTGGTGGATATATACAGTAGGGATTGTTCTTTACTAATAACCTCTACTGACTCAAACAAACCATTACATACCTTATTACTGTAACCATGGATGTAATGCTCGTGCCATTTTCCCCTCAAGATTGACTTATAACCTGCCGTTTTATGAGTGGTGCTTGATTTAATACTGCAGAGTTTCTAACAAACAAACAAACACAGAAATTGAAACGATCAAAGACCAATTCACATACATGCACACACGCATTCAAGGGTCCTTTGAATATTACATAAGTATTGGTAAGTATCACTTGACCCCCGACAATTGGA